AGATGCGGGAGATGTACTCCGCGATGTCGGCTTTTTTCAGCAAAATGCCATCCCTATTACAAGAGTAAATGGACCCTCCGACTAGTGTGCAGTCCCTCAGAATTGCCTCCTGGAATGTCGACGGATTCCGGGGGCGAAAAATCGAACTCAAGGAGCTCTTGCCCCGTCTAGACGTGGACGTGATGGCGATACAAGAGACCAAAGTAGAGGACGCACACACTGTTAGGATTCCTGGCTACCTAGTGTATCGTAGGGACCGAAACAGACACGGAGGAGGCGTGGCCCTGCTCGTAAAAAGAGGTATAGATCACCATATGTTGCAGGTTCCTCAGCTAGAAAACATGGAAGCCGCCGCTGTATCGATCCGTACTCGTAGTTTTGCGTTCACCCTTTTTGTCTTTTTACTTTGCTTTTAGTTGGCGATGTAGCGACCCGTCCAACTACTAGTTCTTTAAATCATTACATAATTAACATTTAAAAATCTCAACTTAATCTTCAGTACGACGACGTTACAAGTCTACAATTAAGTACAACTTTAATTAATATTCTACGTACATTTCAACAAGCAGTTACATTCTGTACATCAATTACGATATCAAGCATCTTTACAAATCTACAGGTTAAATAACACAGGCCAACAAAGAAAAAATTCCAGAGATCAGACAATACGTTTCCGAAGGCATTTGGCGCGCTGAATCCGAATCTGGCCTCAGAATTGATCCATCACCCTAGGTTTCCGAGATATTCTAACCTAAAAGTGCAAAAAACACGTATTTTTGCTATTTTCAAGGTTATGTAACTTGGCGAAAAAATTTTTTTTCTCAAAACTGAAAATATCATTGGAAACTACTATCTTTCCCCTTCAAAACGCATTTTTTTATTTGTAAAAAGCTTTATTTTTCGCGGAGATATCGTCGATTAAAGATGATCAGTATAGCTTCCTTATTAAACCATGGCTATAACACAATATCACTAAGCGCTACGAGCCTTAGAGGGCTCGCAGCGCTTAGTGTTATTGGGTAATAGGGCTTGAAGTTAACCTTCCTGACGATTAGGGCTCACAGCGCTTAGTGTTGTGGGGTTATAGGGCTTGGGATTAACCTTCCAGACATATAGGGCTTGGGGTTAACCTTCCTGACGATTAGGGCTCGCAGCGCTTAGTGTTATTGGGTTATAGGGCTTGAAGTTAACCTTCCTGACGATGAGGGCTCGCTCCGCTTAGTGTTGTGGGGTTATAGGGCTTGGGGTTAACGTTCCTAACAATTAGGGCTAGCAGCGCTCAGTGTTATGGGGTTAGCCATGATGTAATAATATAGCCATACTGGTCATCTTAAATTGACGATATCTCCGCGAAAAATAGAGCTTTTTCCAAATAAAAAAATGCGTTTTGAAGGGGAAAGATAGTCGTTTCCAATGATGTTTTCAGTTTTGAGAAAAAAATTTTTTTCGCCAAGTTACATAACCTTGAATATAGCAAAAGTACGTGTTTTTTACACTTTTAGGTTAGAATATCTCGGAAACCTAGGGTGATGGATCAATTCTGAGGCCAGATTCGGATTCAGCGCGCCAAATGCCTTCGGAAGCATAGTGTCTGATTTCTGGAATTTTTTTTTGTCGGCCTGTGCAATCTTCGTTAAATTCATTTACAATATTACAACGTACAACATACGACCATTCTATAAAAGTGCTACGTCACGCTCTCATGTAAATAGCGTCCTTCTTCTGTCTCCGAAATTTGAGAATCAGTGTGTTAAAGCCATAAATACAGTGTTTCATTCCTACAATCCTTGTCGTCCTTTTCTAAGTGAAGTGAAGTGCAAAAACTTGAATTACACGAAACATTGCTGTACTACAAGCTACCAGATTCAACCAGATTTAGCCAGAGATCAGAGACCAGCCTACAAGATAAGCCGACACCAGGTAAGTGGCTTTACTTGTCAGTTTTACTCGTCAGTTTTTCTTGTCAATGTTTTAACTTTACTGTATTTTCTTATTTTGTGTCCTACAAATCTCTACTTTCGTTCTAAGCACATATTATTTTGATATCCAAATTATCATGGCGCCCTGGCATTTATAAACATTCCCGACGTTCATAAAGATTTCAATTATTACATTTTAACAAATTTTATTAACCTTTTTTACATTTTACATTGATATTTTGAATTTCACCTAACTTTAACGGTAACTTGCACTTTTCAACTTAAATCTACTTTTTTGACAAAGAATAGCTAGAATATACGTATTTAGTCATTTTTCTTTATTTCAAATAAAATCCGAGATAGAGTTTCAAGCTAGCCGAGGCAAACAAAAAAACCGTTGTTAACAGAGTACAGGCGGAATATTATCCAGCTGAAAAAAGTCGAGGGTGATAAAGTCAATTAGTTAACTTTAAGGGAAAAGGGTTATACATTTAGTATAAGTTGTATTATTATATACTGCTACTGTAACATTATACATACAGGGTGTTTATTAATTGAATGCCGATACTTAAGGGTGTGAATCCTTGGGTCATTTTAAGAAGAAAACTTAATATCAACATATATTCTAAACCTCTTAATTTTTGAGCTACAGGGTGTTACAGTTTTAAGAAAAAAATTACTTTTTTATTATAATTTTCTTATCACTCCAGATATCTTTATGAAATTTTGTACACACCTATTAATCATTAAGGAGCATTGTTTGATGTGAAAAATGTTTTAAAATATTTGCCAATGACGCCCGTACGAGGTTTGAACTAAACATTTTTGAAGAAAAAAATTGTACGCCACTACTTTTTCTAAAAACTAAAATTATTTTTAAAATCTCCATTTATTTTACAGCAAATTTGTTCCCTAGACTTACTCTCGTACGACGCATCATTTGCACGTAAAAAAATGAAAACCAAAAAAGTTTTTTCCCAAGTTCATTGAGACTGCTTTTGATATTTTGTTGTCATTTTGTAGACACCCACCATGCGTGGAAACACTTTTTGTGGGGCAAAAATTAATTTTCTACTTTCACAGATGACGTTCACGTAGGCATAATATTAAATGTTTGGATAGAAAAAACGGTAAGCTCATTAAATGCCCCCTTAAAGCAAATGAAAAAAAATTAGTAGGCTGGGTAAAGTGTCATAATTTTTGACGCTTCTTTTCGCAATTATGTTGATATTGATTTTTCATTATTAAAAAATTATTAGAGTAGGAGGTAAAATCTCATAAAAAAAATGGTAAATTTTACAATCGGTGAATTAGCTGACATGCATTTTACTTATGGGGTTGCCGACGGAAATGCATACGAAGCCAGGAGGATATACCAAGAGCGGTATCCAAATCGCGTACTACCCGATCCGAGATACATTTTCTGGGATTCATAGGCGTCTTCACGAAACCGAAAATTTAAAAGTAGGGAAAAGTGGTCACCTTTCATACACGGGGCACATTCGTACAGTATGCCTGACAGAAGAACTAAACGGCGCACAAAGTCGAGTTTGCTTGTGTGCGTAGACATACCAGCCGCCATGTTGCTTGACGAATATCTAGAGTCCCTAGAATAACAGAGTCTGGCCAGTCAACCGGTTTGCCCTTCAAAATGGCGGCCGCTTGGCCGCTATACGCAGGCGCGAGCTTTAACAGCTGTTTACAGTTGTAACGGCTGTGAAATCAATGAAATTTGTTGTCATTAGTTAATTCCCCCAAAAAAATCAGTGTTTTGAAGGCCAAAAAGTCAAAAACAGTAAGTAATTTGTTATATTGTTACCGGGGATTGCATAAACAGAACAAGTATCTCAGATAAAATTCGTAATTATGAAATTATCATGAGCAAATCATGCGTCATGATTTTTACGTTTTCATCATGAGAAAATACAAGAAAAATCGTCAATTTTCGGACAAATTATCGTCAAAATTTGACGGCGATTCGTCCATAAATAATAGATTTTTTCTTTTGGGATAAAAAATTATGAAAGTGCAGAGAAATTTTCTATACATTTCTCAAATAAATTCAATGTATGGAAAATTCAAAATTTGTCCAAAATCCTGATATAGAGGAGAGGGGTGTAGATTCACCAGGGGTATACATTCGACCACCTGCAGATTTTAGCAGGTTATTTGAATTTGCCGCATAAATATCATGTTACAGTATTGGCAGTGTTGCTTAGAATTTGTTTTGATATGTGTAAGTGAGATTTAGCTAAACATTTTTTGATCAAAAATCTTCAAAATTTTATTAGTGTTAAAGGTAAGTTTTTCTCGATTTTTATTCTTGAAACTAAGTGTTATGTTATAGTCCGGTCAAACCAATATATATATTTTTCTGTGGCACTTCTTATAAAACAAGTGTGCCATGCAAATATAACCTCAAAATGTAGTGCACGTGCATTTTTCTATTTAGAAACAGAAAACAGCATATGGGGTACATTCAACCATTTAGTCAGGGGTACATTCAACCATGGTCGAATGTACCCCACAACCCACAAAAATATATAAGTGTTAATTATACATTCTCTATTATTGTTATAGATGCCTAGAACATACATTCCTAAGACAAATAGAAGAGACATAAATGAAAATGATATTAAACAGGCAGTTATTGATGTACTAAAGAAAACTAAATCCGAAAGAAATTCTGCAGAATTTAACGGGATTAAAAGATCGACACTTAAATCTAGGATAAAGAAAATGCTAAAAACAAAAACTGCAGAAGAACTTCTTGCCAAGTTTGAAGATTCTGGAAATGAATTTTCAGACGAATTACAATTTACCAGTAAATATACCGTAAAACAAGTGTTTACCAATGCTGAAGAAGATGAGCTAGTAAAATACATTAAGAAGTCGTCTGATATCCACTATGGATAAACATACAGACAAATTCGAGTATTGGCTTATGACTATGTCCAGATACTTCCAAATAGGAAGCTTCCTGAGCAATGGAGTGAAAATAAGATTGCAGGCTTAGACTGGTTAAAGTGTTTCATGAGACGTCATCCTCAATTATCTCTCAGGAAGCCCGAAAGTACCAGCATGGCAAGATCTATTGGTTTCAACAAATACAGAGTGGAGGAATTTTTTAACAATTATGAAACAGTTATGAAGAAATATAAGTTTTCTCCAAACGATATCTATAATATTGACGAAACTGGTGTGACAACGGTAATGAAAGGTGTAAAAATAGTTGCTTCCACTGGTGCAAAGCAAGTCGAGCAGATTTCGTCAGCAGAGAGAGGAGAACTTGTGACGTTTGTGGAAATAGTGAATGCTGTTGGTGGTACAGTCCCTCCTGTCTACATTTACCCAAGGATAAGAAATCCAAGTGATTACTTCATCGATGCGCCGATTGGTAGCATCGCATTAGGCAACAAATCTGGATGGATGACCACTCAACTGTTCCATGAAGTGCTTAAACATATTGTCTCTCATACTAATTGTTCTCAAGATAACAAAATTTTGATATTGCTTGACAACCATGAGTCCCATGCAAGCGTTGGAATTATAGACTACTGTCGTAATAATGGGATAGTGCTTTTGTCCTTTCCCCCTCATACCTCCCACAAGTTGAAGCCTTTGGATGTGGGAATCTATGGGTCGTTCAAGAGCAAATGTGGTGTAGCATTTAACGACTTTATGCTGAGCAATCAAGGAAAAACAATTTCTATAAAAAATATAGCACAATTAACAAATACCGCATTTCTAGCTTCATTTACACCAAGCAACATAATAAGTTCTTTAAAAAAAACCTGGAATATGGCCATTCAACAGGCTCGTATTCACCGTAGCAGATTTCCAATCTTGTTACGTAACAGACCGGCCGCCGATTCCAGAACAAGATCATGCAGATTTTGAAATTCGTCAACCCCCTATTCCAGATAACCGAAATTTTTGCACTTCCATCCACTTCAACTTCTACAAGTTCAAACTCTGCAGACACTAATAATTATGTTACACCTGCGGCATACCAGAAAACAAACGTTCTTTCTCTAGAACTCGTTCGTCCTTACCCAAAAGCTCCCATAAAAAATAATAATACGACCACTCGTCGACAAGGAAAGTCAAGAATTTACACGAGCACTCCAGAAAAAGATAAGCTAATTAGTTTCGAAAATGAGAAAAAAATCAAGAACGAAAGAATAGAAGCTACTAAGAAAAGTAAGATAATGAAATCGCTACTCACACCTCCAAAGAAAACTCTACCAAAAAAACTTTACAGAAAACAGTCAAGTTCGAGTGAGTCCGATGTCTCTGTAGAATATAATGATGGATCAAGCGATGATTGTGAACTTGATGAAATTCCGGTTTTGTCTCGGGATGATGAAATTACACTGGGAGATTTCGTAGTTGTAAGGTTTGCCACAAAATCAACTGTAGTTCATTACCTATGGGAAGTAACAAATATTTTAGATGAAGACAATTATGAAGTGAACTTCCTAAGAAGACGAGGTAACAGCTCAACTTTTTCTTTCCCACAAGTTGTAGTCATGTCTTTAGTTGAAAAGGCAGACATTTTAGGAAAATTACCTAAACCTAGTGACTCTGCAAAAACCGCAAGAACATCAAGTCTATTTAAATTTAATTATAATTTTGATAGTATCTGTTTTAAATAATGTCGATTTCTACTTTCATTTTTGGTTTTCCAGAAGTCTTAGTTGTATTTTTTAAAAATAAACTTGTTGAATACTCTTATAACCATTTTATTTATTATTTTTTAAATACTGGTTGAATCTACCCCACCTACTGGTTAAATCTACCCCATAGGTGGGGTAGATTCGACCAATTGCTAAATTTTCAGAAAAATATTTTCCTATATTACTATCAATATTTATTAACGGATCTATGCTTTTAAAATGCAGACGACCAAGTTAACTTTATGTTGTGTAGTATACAGTTGACAAAACTTGCTCCGTCTTTCTGTACCCCCATCATTTTACAAATTTGGTCGAAAGTACCCCCCTCCCCTACTTTTTTCTAATTCCATAATTTTCTTGAATATCTTAATTTTTTTTTAATTTAAAAATTCATTTGAATTGAAATATTTTTCTAAAATTGCAAACTTTTTTTCACAAATAAAAAAATGTTTTTAGAAGTTAAAAAATTTGTTTAGAAATTACTTAATTTTCAAAAGTATTCTCATTCCCTTAAAATTTGATTATTTTTTGCAATTCAATTTTACGTAATAATACTTTTAATATATAAATATACATATAATAATGGAACATATATTTCTATCTTATATAAACAATATTGTTTTCTTTTCACAATAGCAGGTTGGAAAAGCGATACATATATTTCACATTTGCAAATTTTGCAAGTATGTGTGATACCTGAAAAATTTTTAATAATTATTTACATCTACAAATATGTACATTTATTTTATAAATTTTAAATTCAATAAAAAATACAAAATGTCTACATTTGTAGAACAATTTTTTTGTGAAACTTATTTATTTTGTCAATTTTTGTGTACCACTTCAGAAAATGGAAAAGGAAAACATTTTTCTCTATTCTCCTCCTCTTTTGGTATTTATGATACGTGTTGGACAATCAAGTTTTAAATTTAAAGGTTTTCTTCTTTTTTTCAATCTTATTCAAATTTTTGTATTGTCAATTATGCAACGCAATATTAAATATAATGGAGAATTTTTGCATAAGTACAGTAACCTCCAGTAAATCATTAAAAATCATCACATGAACTTGTCAATGTATTTCTCATTATTATTTGTGTACAATGAGAAAGTATCTGTAATATCTGATGGCATGAGAAAAAGAAGCATGGATGCATACGAAATTATTAATATATGTATATCTGGGATGCTCGTTGTATTTGCATTAATCATGATGATTTGTGTCGCTGACTCTAATATGTAAACTAATGGTTTCAGTTCACCATGACGATGACCTGCTCTATTCTTAGATGCAAAATGCGTCGGAAAAAAGGAATAAAAATTCATATGGCTCGAATTCCTAAAAATCCTATTTTGAGAGAGAAGTGGATTTCGAGTATTTCTGAAAATACTTATACACCTGAATGGCAACCAGGACCAAATTCAGTTGTTTGTGAGGTACTTATTATTTCCTATGTTTTATTCATAATTAGGAAAACGAATACAAAGTGATCGTATAAAAATTTGTGTACCTACTATTTATTTTTTTATCGAATACAATATCATGTGAAAAATTGTAGGATGAACTTGCTGATTGATCTATAAAACAAATTCAATTATATAATATTGAGGAAAATTATATACTAAATAGATATATATGTGCATTTTTACAGTTACATTTCACTGATGACATGTGGGAGAAGGAACGTGTCGACCAAACCCGAAAACTAAAGTGTTCTGCATTTCCCAACATCTTTCCAGGCTTCACGGTACTATAAATATTATACATATAATGAAATTCTTAGTTGTAAGACTGATTCGAATTATTTATGTATGCACTTTTACTTTATTAGACCACTAATAAGGATTTTATTATTGTAGGAACCTGAAGTTCATGAAGTTGCTGTTCCTGAAGATGCCGTTCTTGAAGTTGCCGTTCCTGAAGTTGCTGTTGTTGCTCAAGTTGCTGTTCCTGAATTTCCTGAATTTGCTGTTAACTTGGTATACACCGACGAAGCCGAACTTGACACTGACAGTTCAGAAGCAGTGGAGACTCATCCACAAATACAAAGTGTAAGTTTGTATGTTATCACATAATATACATTTTTACCCTGTATGAAATGGAAGAATTAAAAGAAATAGAAGGGAATAGCATATTGAAAATGTTTGATTCACTTTCTTAATTCACTTCTATTCTTTTTGGCTGTTTTCAATAACTCCCAAAGAATCGAAAAACATTTTCAATGCTTTTAGAAGAAAATGGAAAATGGTTTCCGATTCTATTACAAAAAGTGAAAACAATTTGCAGTCTTCTAGAAGAATTATAAATTATTTCTATGTTTTTTAAAGAATCGACATCAATTTCAATTCTTGAATAAAAATAGATGCGTGACAGCAGCGACCCAAAATTCGAATTTTGCAAAAAAGTTTATGCAGTTGGATTGCACTTTTTTGCAAAATTGAAATTTCGAGTCGCTGCTGTCACACAGCTAATAAGAATCAGAAAATGATCCTTCTATTCTCTTTTAAGAATTAAAATGCAAAAAGACTTGGAGTGCATGAATTAAAATCGACTTTTTTTAAATTGAATTCTCATTCTCATAAAGAAAGTGAATAGGAAATCTCCAATTTTCTATACAGAGCAATGTTGTAATACTTAATGAATAACGAAAATGGTTCTATTGCAGGATTCGACTTCAACTAATATCGAATCACGTGAAAGTGATCTCATCAAAGAACTGGAAGTGAAATTGGCAAACACAGAAAGAAAATTAGCCAAAGCAAATATGAAAATTCAAAAAGCCGACGCGATTCTCCGCACAACAGCGAAACAACAAAATAAGTGGCTCAACACTTATTCAAAGCAAAGAAGAGAAAATATAAAATTGAAGAAACAACTTTCGCAACTGACTTCTGCTACGAAAAACATCTTCTGCGAGGACCAGATTCTGGCGTTAACCAGAAAATCTTCAAGAGGAGTGCAGTGGTCAAATGACACAATAAAAAAAGCACTTAGGCTTAAATTCACTTGCGGTTCAGCTGGTAACACCGAGCTACAAGCACAGAAGATTCCTCTTCCATCAGAACGGACTCTGCGAAGGAAATTAGAAAGCATCGACTTTAAGGAAGGCATCTGCAATGGAGCTTTTGAGCAGCTGCGTGAAGCTACAGAACTTTTTGAAGACGATAGGTCTATGGATGCTGTACTGGGTTTGGACGAAATGGCAATACGACCATCGCAGGAATTGGATCCTTCAACGAAAAGATATTGCGGGCTATCTTCTTTTCCTACAAGCACTGGTAAAATACCTGTTTCCTCTCTGATTTCTTTACACACAATTAATTTGCAATTAACTGTATACTTTTATCATGTTTCTTCCCTATACCTTATTTTTATGATGTGTTATTATTTATTTATTTATTTATTTTTATTTAAGGACAAGGGACAAACACAGGCTTTATAGCCCAAAACAATGTCCACAAATTACTTAAAGCTAATTGAATATAAAAGTACAGAAAAGATTATTATAATAGAAAATGTTAATTTACAATAACACAGCCCCACAAAAAAAATTGAAATTATGTTCTCCGATATCTGAGGAGGTGCACTTTATGTTTTTGGGGTTGCTGAATCCGAATCCGGGGTCCGTTTAACCCCATCACGTCAGGGTCAAGGGCATCTGAAGGTCAAATTGCGGAATGACTATTAACAAATCTGGAAAAATTTATATATATGTTTTCGGGGTCGCTAAATCTGAATCTGGGGTTCTCTTGACCTTGAAGTGTCAGAATCAAGGTCAAATAAAGGTCAAAACCCTAAAATTTGATGATATGATCATTTTGACCCCGGATTCTTGAAGAGCAGAAAATTTTACGTCCGAATATGTATTGACTTTTTTTTTAGAACAGACCTTTGTAGGTCACGTGATGGTCATCCAAAATCAAATCCATTTTCCAGCTTTTGGCTGTAAATTGAGATCTTGGGTCTTTGATGAGTTGATATTTTTCGGGTCGTTGATCACGATTCGTAATATAACGATATAATATTTTCTTACTCCGGATTCTGAAAGAGTGAAAAATTTCATCCATGTGTTTGCATCCAGGGCACCTCCCCGTGGTGACGGCGGGCAACGGAGTTGTCCCGCTATCCGGCAAAGTCCCTGGAACAGGACGCGTATGCCGTCATGGCAAACACAACGGAGAAATTTACGATGCAGGGGGATGGAACCCCAGTATCGGCGGCTG